GTTAATGCCGATTTTATGCAAAAAGGATAATAAACTTAAATACAGTGTAATGCCCTCTAATGGGGTCCTGTTCAGTCTTACCCCCACATTAATTCAAAATAAAACAGGATGATTAATGTTTGCAGAGCAATCAAAGATATTCTACCAGCTCCGGCAGAGCATTTTCTGCAGTGGCAGACTACTTGTGTTATAAAGTCAGATAAATTATTCATACTTGAATGTATCAAGTGAGACAACTACAGAGCATTCTTACTATTTATTATTATTTTTAAAACTTCTCCAGAAAAGAAAAAAAATACCCCAAGCACCACCCCAACTAAGCAGACAGACCAGTCAACTCTATTCAAATTTATCCATATTTCTGATAAATTGGTACCAAATTCATCATCTCCCATATACTGTTAAAAGACATACGGAATGCATAAGATAGCTAACAGCATTCTTTTTCATCTGCTGGTGCATTCCAATATCTAAAGTTTTACTTTTGTAGGGTTGTGGTCTATACGCTGAAGACCAAAACATTTTTGTGGCAGAATTATTTAATAGGAATTGTATTTTTTCAAGGAGAACTTAACTGTAAAAAATAAATTTCACATAGATAGTTCATGGAAACCATGCATTTCTTTCATCACTGTTTGCTTTTGTACCATTTTGGTAAAGCTATTTCATTATGTAAGCCAAATATTTGTTTAAATGTACTGTGCACTTTCATATGAGCATTAGAATCATAAAAAGGGAGAAATTACTGTAATAGCGGATATGGAAAGACAGCTACAACACTGGTCCATTAGAAGCTGTAAAACCTATGACTTACCTCTTTCTCCTCCTTTCTCATCTTATGGAGAGTAGTATTCAGAGGGCTCTAGTAGCCCATCTAGTAGCCCATACAGGGCATCTTCTGCACTAGAACCTAAGCTTACATTAGCATATTGCCATACCGTTGATATTTGCGGAGTAGATTTTCATATTGCTTTTATTCATTTATGTAATTTAGTCATATGATGGTTGTAGTTCTTCATTGATGATTTGAAGGCATTGTCTATTCAAAAGGACCAGCGTTCCATTCTGTGACCACACTGGCGGTGCAGAATTTGTTGTTTTATTTCTATTGAGGGAAATGGAGAGATGTACTTCAAAAATGATTTGGTTGGTTTTGTACACTGTGTATCATAAACTGAGGATTCAAAGTACACAGTAGGTACTTAGGTAGCACAAGGCATTGAGCCAGTCCTGGTTGTGATAAAACTACCATATTTTCGGGTGTATAAGACTACTTTTTAACCCAAGAAAATATTCTCAATAGTCAGGGGTCGTCTTATACACCGAGAGTAGACTTATATGCTGGGAGCAGTCTTATATGCTAGGAGTAGTCTTATACGTCGGGAGTCGTCTTAGAGAGCGGGTGCTGAAACCTCCAATCTGGATTGGAGAATTTGTGGTTGCTGCATATGGTGGGGAGAGCTAAAAAATGGCAGTGGCCGCGTCCCTGCCGTATGCAGCGACTGTATGAAAGCATTAAGGGCGACACTACAGGTATAGTAGAAGAAAATCCATTCATCAGGATTCATGGACTTAATGCGGTCCCGATGGTGAGGTGAAGGGGTGCCCGGGGTAAAATGTACATGAAGGGCAGAGCAAGCTGCAGACGTCCGGGGCACCCATGGTATGGAAAAAAGAGATAGAGTGGCTCTGCGCTCAGAAAAACACACCTCTTTTACCTCTCTGGCCCACCCTTGTATCCTATTAACATACCTCCTCCTCTGCCTCTCAGATATCGCCCCTGAAGACTGCAGTGAAGCAGTGCAGGTGCATATGTGCGAGATCTGAGAGGCAGAGAAGGAGGTACAGTAATAGGAAAATTACCAAATTGAAATCAAATCTGATGTTTTGGTGTTTTGGTGTGCGTGGGAAGAGGGATAGTCTTATATGTTGAGTATATCCCAAACTCTATATTTTAACGGGAAAAGTTGGGGGTCGTCTTATACACCCAGTTGGCTTATATGCCAGAATATACAGTATTCAGTTGTCTTGAACATATATGCTTGCTAGATAAGTTAATATGTGAACTTGAATCTACCAACATTAGCAAACCCATGCCTTTTTCCTTTCTGAAAGTTTTTGGCATAATATTAGAATTTGACATCTGTCAGATTCTTTCAAGTTGTATGATCTGCTTGTTTAGGACTGATGTATTGAATAACAACACATCTCAGTGCTTCCTTCTACCTCCTTGAGTTTTGGTCTGCTGTTGTTGTGAAAAGTGTAATTCTGCTCCCCCCCCCCTCCCCCCGTAACACACCTTGTCTGGCCTCTGGCTGACAAGAACAGGCCAGACTTTTAACTACGGTAAATTTATTCAACCCTGCATCAAAGTTTGCTGCTATTCAACTCATGGAAATAAAGTAAACCTGTACTTGGACAGAGCTAGAGAAAGTTCCTTTTTTGAGTAGTTTACAAGATTTTCCCCAACAAAGAGTTTGGGAGATATAGTAAAAAAGAAAGAAACATTTCCAAACTCCTTGAAATGGAGAGCTATTCTTGTTTCCCTCTTTCACGTAAACAAGGATGGAGATATAGCATTCCCAGTGCTCTTTAACATAAAGGGTTAAAATGTTGGAGCTGGGGATCATTTAGAAGCCGAACTTGGAAAGTTACCTTTTACGACAACAATTTACAGAATCTACAGGAAAGATTCTTATGGTTCTTTTCACTGTTGCAGTAAAGCACATACTCCACTGCTTTAATGCAATCTCACTACTTACATCCATAATATAAATAGTTTTTGCAACATGCCAGGATTGCAGATGTCATTATCTTTCACATTCCCCTAGGGATCTAAATACAGAGTATTGGGCAATTGTTCAGTGTAGTTATTCAGTGGAGAATTAATTCTGTTCAAACTTACATTCCAATTAAAATGATGTCTTCCATTTCATACTTTAAAATTAGACTTACTTATATGCATTTAACAATAGTATGTTAGCGGGAGGAAAACTAACAGGTGAGAAAACTAGGACTGGAATCTTATTTTATACAAGCCAATTCAATTTAGCTGGGAATGCTGCTATGGAAACAACAGATAGAGATTTTAGGCTAAAATGGCTCTCTGAGGCTATACTGAGAAATGGTAGGGAAGGGCCAAACATGTTGATTTTTAAATGTTTGTTTGCCCTACAATGTGTACGGTTGGGCAAGTGAAGAAGCAGTGTGTCCAAAGCACAGAAGAAGGTCACTTAACACTGGAGAAGGTTGCTTTCTCTCAGCCTAACTCACCTCTACTTGGATTGTGGGGTGAATGTTTTGTCATATTTTTTGCTGCATTTTGGAGAATCCCTTTTAAGGTGAGTTGTGTGTCTCTTGCAATTAAAATCTCCAAGGGAAACAATTATGCCTAGACTATAAATGTAAACAAACACATGTATCCATTATGATAGTACACTTATTTTAATATATGAGCACTGAGTTATTTCGTGGAAAATTTTGTGATCATTTTAGCAATGTATGTCCTGCATCAGGTTTTATTTATTTGCATCTTTGTTTATTTAATGTATATACCACTTTTCTTCCAAGATGAGACTGAAGGTGACTATCAGTGGATCAATCAGGAGCCCGCAGGACTGCTGACTGACAGGTCAGCGGTTTGAATCTAGGGAGAGTGGGTTGAGCTCCCTCTGTCAGCTCCAGCTCTCCATGCGGGGACATGAGAGAAACCCCCCGCAAGGATGGTAAAACATCAAACATTTGGGCGTCCCCTCGGCAATGTCCTTGCAGCCAATTCTCTCACACTAGAAGCGACTTGCAGTTTCTCAAGTCACTCCTGACCTGACACAGAAAAAAAAATCAATGAAAGGAACAGATTTCCACAGACAAGCAATTGGCATTGAACTAATTTTATATACAGTAGTATTTTGCAACCAAGAAGTAACTTCAACAAGAAAAGCAGGATGATAAAAGCAGCAACTACTGTAATTCCTGCTTTGTGCAGTGGTTAAGTAGTACAGGGGTCTTGGGGATGAAGCCAAAGTGATGAGAGAAGTAAAGCACCCACCAGTTCCTAGTTTCTTTCTTTATACAAATGCAGAGGTCAAAAGGCACCTGCAGTTAAGGTTTGGAGAATTAGAGTGATATTGAATCTTGTCTTGGCACACTGCTCATTATTTCAGTTATTTTTATCCCACTCTACTGACACTATAAAGTATTTTTGATGGGCAGGGAGTAATGAGGGGTCAGGGAGAAGGAAGCGAAAGGAACAAAATAATTATTCCCTGAAACTGTGTATTTCCTCGTTTCCCTTATATCCTGCTAACAGCGATCCTATGAAATTGGTAGGAAGCTTGTCTGGGAATAGTAATTGATGGTGCAAGGAAAATAACTTGTGATTTTGGTGGGGTGAAATAGCTTCCAGTCTGCCCTTGCAAGTGTCACTTTTCCTATATACTTACAGTTTGCTTTGGGAATATAACATCTGTTGAATTTGTGAGAACTTTTACCTTCGTTTTTTCTTCTGCTCACACTATATGTACAATCATTTGTGGACTGCAGACTTTTATTCTTGAACCCTCTGTTAGATATAATTCTGTTTTTGTTTTTGGGTGCATTTGAGTCATTTCCAATTTGTGGCAGTCTTAAGGAGAACCAATCACAGGGTTTTCTGGGGTTGAGAGTGCGTGACTTACCCAAGATCACCCAGTGTATTTCCATGACCAAACTGGAATTCATACCTTTGTCCCCATAGTTGTAGTCTAATGCTCAAACCAATACATCATGTTGGCTCACTAGCTGTAACAACCTGCTCCAATTTTGGGTCCTTCAAATGTGTTTGACTACATCTTCAAATTGTTAGCCATTTGAGTGATAGTTCAACAGGTTGGGAAGGGATTTTACAGTGTAAATATATTATAGTTACTATTCTACTTTTTATCTCTTGATTGAGACAGAAAGTGGCAGTTTTTGTTGTACATGCTAAGCAATACCATTTCCCCTCCCCCTTTCTTTTTCAGTATTCAGATGCCAAAAAACAGTGCTGGTACTTTGAGGGGGTGTATCCTACATATTATGTGTAAGTGATTCTCTTTTTCTCTCTGTGTTCATGTGATCATATATGAATGTGTATTTGTATGACACGCTGACAGACAGATTGTACATTCCAAGGCAGCATATTCCACTGTTGAACAGCTTTTACTGTCAATATTTACCCAAACTGGACAGAATACCAGAGAAAAAGACTAAAGAAAATCAAGGTAAACTAGCAAAATCATTTTTGAAGTAATGGACAATCTTACAATCAAAGATGTCTGGAGATACAAATACAGTCAAGCAAAGGAACACCCCTTCCCCCCAAAAAGACAGGTCATTTTTTTTAGGATTGACATGTTTTTTGATATCTAAATCTATAAGTCATAAAATCAAAAGTATAAAAACTCCACATAGAATGATTTCGGATCTTAAAGCCTGTTTCTCTAGTGTTGTTCAATGGAAAAGAAACATTCATAGAATCATAGAGTTGGAAAAGACCACATGGACTGTCTAATCCAACCCCCTGCCATGCAGGAAAAATACAATCAAAGTACCCCTGAAAGCTGGCCATCCATCCTCTGTTCAAAAGCCTCCAAAGAAGGAGCTTCCACCACGCACTGAAGCAGTGAATTTCACTGTTGAACAACATAGTCAGGAAGTTCTTCCTAATATTAAATTAGAATTTCCTTTGTTGTAATTTGAACCCATTGCTCCAAGTCTTAGTCTCCACGGCAGCAGAAAACAAGCCTGCTCCCTCTTCTGGAGGGGCCGAAGGTTTAGCACAGCTGGTAAATCATCAGCAATTATAAGATCTATTAACCAAAAGGTTGCAAGTTCGAAGCCCCAGGTTGGTGTGAACTGCCAACTGTTAGTCCCAGTTCATTGTTTACTTAAGCAATTCGAAAACAGTTTTAGCTGTGATTAGAGAAATTAGGTACTGAGGTGTTTTACGACTCCATAAAGAAAGATCAGAAAATGCTGGGCGACCAAAAGGAAGGAGGAAGTCCTGATGGCTCTTAGTCATAGAGTAACAGCACCCCTGGACTCAAGCACAACCTTCCATGGCACTTCCTTCTGTTCTGTCGGTCTGTGTATTGTCTATACAAAGCGGCATTAAATGTTTGCTGCGTATGTGTACTGTGATCTGCCCTGAGTCCTCTTTGGGGTGAGAAGGGTGGAATATAAATAAAGTGTTATTATTATTATTCCTTATGACATCCTTCCACATATTTATGCATGGCTATCATATCTCCTCCCAGCCTCTTCTTCTGCAGGCTAAACAGACCCAACTCTTTAAGCCACTCCTCATAGGTCATGGTCTCCAGACTTTTGATTATTTGAGTTGCCCTCCTCTGGACATGTTACAGCTTGTCAATATCTCTCTTGAATTGTGGTGCCCAGAATTTGATACAGTATTTCAGGTGAGGTCTGACCAAACCAGAATAGAGGGGTACCATGACTTCTCATGATATTCTAAGACTACTCCTTTTGATGTAGTCCAAAATCCCATTGGTTTTTTTAGCTGTTGCATCACATTGTTGGCTCATGTTTAACGTGTTGTCCACTAAGGCTCCAAGATCTTTTTCACATGGTCTGTTGTCAAGCCAGGTGTCACCCATCCTGTATCTTTGCATAGAGGACAAAAAGAACCAAATATTTAAGCAATAAATTGGGTTTTCAGGTTGTTCATACAATTAAATGTTATTTAATGATAATTATGGCAAAATATGGAAGGAGATAAAAAAGATCTGCAAAAGTGGAATACTTTACAACTGTCACCTATGGATAGAATTTCAGTAATCAAGATGAATCTGTTACCTAAAATGTTCTTTTTGTTTCAATCATTACCAACTTTAGTGAATGACATCATATTTAAACAATGGCAAAAAGACTTGTCAACTTTTATCTGGCAAGGCAAGAGACCCGAACTGATGGGTTAATTTAAATATGATATTTCCTTCGCCTCCTCATCATATATGTGTTTGTTCCGTCAAGGTTTCAATTTTGCTTCATGGCAGGAAAGACTTTGTCGTAACATTCTTTGACATTCACTGATTATATATTCTATGCCATCATAACAGGGTTCTTGTTCTGCATCTGCCTACACACATTCATAACAAGATCCCATCTTTCCCTTTAGCATAAGGTTTATTGGCAGAAGCTTGTCTTCAGTGGCAGAAGCTTGTCTGCTAATAGATCAGTCCTGTTCTTATAGCAGGGATTAAATAAAGGGGAAAATTGTAATGTGCTGGATGAATAATCAGATCAAACAAACACAGTTTTTTCTGAATGAATGAATCCGCCAGATTTGTCAATGCCGGATGTGTTCCCAGTGGAGCTTCTGCCTTAACTTACATGGCTTATTTTTCTGTTCAAAATTAATGAATTCATGTTCCACTCCATCAATGAGATGAATTGGACTTGTATGGGACTCACACCCATGTACCGAGATATAGACAGATGATAGATTGTGTTGAGCATCACATGAAAGAGCAGATTGTTTATGGGCATCCTTCTTGACAATAGCAATTAAGGATCTAAGTTTGTGGACATCTTCCCTCATGTGGTCTTTACAATGACTGTCTAATGACTGCTTGATAGAGGGAAAATCTAGTCAACATGATGGACTGCATTATTAAAAGATACAGTGGTATTGATTTCTATTCTTGAGATTATAAGTCTCATTTTTCATCAATGTCTTGATCTTGATACATTTCCTTCATCATCATACATTTTGCACATTTCAATTTTAAAGTTTAAACAACCATTGTTTATAGCAGGAGAAGGAAGGAGGGACTCCAGCATTGGCCAAAGTTGGGATGTCAAGTTCCTTGAGCTAAGATATGAAACTGCATATTGATGGTGTTGGATAAATATATATTTATTTCTTTTGTCGACTTAATAAAGATTCCCCCTCCCCCTTGTACTTCTGTTACGTCTTCCCAGTAACATAACGGGACATGATGTTCTCCAACTCATTAAACACATTATGTTATTGGCCGTTGTTCAATGCTGCCCTATTATACTGGAAAAAGAAATGAAGTATTATCAGGATGTCTGTTCTGCATCTGTTCTTGGGAAATGAATACATCTGAAGTACATAGAGTTGTTCTTGCACATTTCTCTTTTTGTTTGGAGAGGCAGTGTGGATTATGCTTAGCATGTAAGACTTGGGCTTGGTGGCTCAACGAAAGGAGAGATGTACAAGATCTAGTCCAGTAGTTCTCAACCTGGGATCCCCAGATGTTTTTGGCCTACAACTCCCAGAAATCCCAGCCAGTTTACCAGCTGTTAGGATTTCTGGGAGTTGAAGGCCAAAAACATCTGGGGACCCCAGGTTGAGAACCACTGATCTAGTCATTTGGTCTGATGTTGCTTGATATTAGAGGGTAGTCAAGAAGAAAAAAAGTTACATATGAGGAAGATACCCAAGCTAGGACAGGCTTGGGCAGTTTGATTCAGCCTGAGCCTCCATCCTCTCCTCCCTCCCCTGCTGACTGAGTTCATGTTTACACTGATTACTTAGGCTGGTGTAGATAACTCAATCAGCCTTGTGGTAGCCAAAGACATTATAAGTCTAATCTAGGATAACATGGGGCAAGTCTTGCTCCATATTAGTCCATCTCGGGTTTTTGGGAATAGTTGAGGTAGTTCCTAAATAGAACAGGCTGCAATTCTCCCTGCTGCCATCCCATGTTTCAGGGGCTCAGGAGGCCTAGGGACACCGCATGGCAGTTCCCCCCCCCCCCCAATATCACGATGGTCTCTGGCTATAACACAGATCCTATCTATTCTTTCTTGCATCCTTGCATGCTGTAAAGTTGTCCAAGGTGGTGAGGAATGCTGAAAAGGGAGGGGTCCTCCTCTCTTGGCTCTCTTGGTGCCCCATCTCCCCGACTGACATGAGAGTCCCAGTGGGAGGCATATTTAGGGCCGATATAGCATCCAGCACTCCAAGTCAGCCCCAGGTTTTGGATCTGTGTTGATTCTACCCGAATGTGAATGTCTTTTGCACTATGAACTCAGTGTGTAGTAATTGCAATAATTAAGACAAAAGGAAGTGGATGAAGGGAAAAGGAAATTGGCATTTTAACAGCAGATGAAAAAGTAAGATGACAGACAATTAATTGGTATTGTTCCTGAAAAACTGGAGGATTTATGAAGCGTGTAACTCACAGGATGAATTTGGGCCCATCTCTCTCTCTCTTAGCCTGACTACCTCATAAAATTGTTGGGGGGCTAAAATGTGACAGGAGAGCTTTGATCGTATTGGTTGAAAAGTGAAGAAAAATTCAATCAAGGAAGAGGAGGGGTGCTGATAATCACTGTCATCAGCATTTATAGTCAAAGTTAATTGGGTAAACTAGACAGTTCTAAGAAATGTAGTCAGCTAGGTCTTGTACTTTGCAGCTTGAACCAACAGATGATGATCTGAGATGGGGATACAGTTCTGAGCCAACTAACCTTATGTTTGCTCACCTGTCAGGGCCCTCCCTGGAAACAAGAAAAACTAGGTTGTGCAACATCAGCATCCTAAATCGACAGGCCTTGGCTACATTTGCAAAAAAAAAGTATGCTTGCCAAACAAAAGTTATAAACTTTCGCACCAGCATTTGTATTTGCAGTACAGACAGTCCTCAAGTTACAAAAAAGATAGTTTCCGTAGGTTTGTTATTAAGTTAGTTTGTAAGTCAGAACAGGTACTTAAAAATGTTCTCTACTGTGAGTTGTTTGTAACTCAGGGACTGCCTGTACTGGATTAATTATTTCACGCTCTGAAATAGCCCGGATGGGCTTACCTGCCTTCCTAAGGATTTTTGCAGGATCCAATTGAGACCTTTTTAGAGTGATGAAATCCACTGCAATATATACAGTAAATCTAGCAATTTTTTGGTTTAAAATTTTACCCAAAAATTCAGGGTTGATTATTCCCTGGGTCAATATGAGTACTGAACCTTAATCTCTTATCAAAAGAGGATCCATCCTCTTATCTGGGTAAAGTAGCAAAAGGTGAGAGCTTAGTCCCCATTTTCTGTCTACTTTATGTGGTGCTGCTTCTGGCTTTTTAAAATTACTTGGCATATCAGAATTTGTGATTTTGGCCTCAAATCCTCTTGATATATATGAGGCTAAAGTATTCACAAGTATATACAGGTATTTGATCGGAAATGCGTAGAGTCATGTAATATATCCCGGCACAGTATTACCTGAGTTTGCAACCAAGAATTTATCCTTGATAAGAAACTGCAGCACTTCACTTTAAAAGGTGTACCTGTCAAGTACATATTTTGGTAAATATGTGTCATTCGCTGTATTAAAACATTTTTAAATATAAAGCAATCATTCACATCAGGCTATGTTGTAAACATGTGCTACAAAAGAATTACCATGGCAATGAACAAGACTTTAATTCTTAACTCTTGCTGTGAAATTAAAATAATTTAAAGGCATCTTCACTATTTAAAAATAGAAGTGTCTTAAATAACCTGCTTCTCCTTTTATCTCACCCGTGTTTTTAATCAGTTTTTAAATCATTTTCTCGCATATGTAGCCACCCGTTGTTACTGTGACTGTGTTTATTGTAGTCTTATATTGTTAATGTATTCATATGTTTTATGTAATTATGATGTTGTTGTTTGTTGTATGTGTTTTTGGTTTTATTTTGCTGTAATTTGTTGATTGGGCTTGGCCTCATGTAAGCTGCCACAAGTCCCCATTGGGGAGATGATGGCAGGGTATAAATAATAATAATAATAATAATAATAATAATAATAATAATTATTATTATTATTATTAAATGTCAATAATAGTAATAAGGTACTCCTTATGGTTTTATTTTATTAGTATTTTTTATTAGAAACCTTTATTCCACCTGGTATTTCTGGTTTTTCCTCCCAGGCAAGCATTTTATTACATCTAAGTCCTTGGGATATTACCTTTCTGATGTTGTACAGCTTTTCTTTCAATTTGATTTGTTTTCTTACACCAGCTATGATTTTGTGGCACATCAGATAGTAACAACCTGTTGAAGGAATAATTGCATAAATTTGCATCTTATAAATGAAATGCCAAAATACAGGTTCCCAGAGATGATAATATTAAGAACCAAATATCTTATTCAGACATTTATGAGGATGGTGTGATATAGTTCCCTTGCCCACAGTATCACCTCAAAAACTATGTAAAACACCCTTTGCCCTTTTTATGTGTGACCAGCTGACTTGCTTTGAATGTATTTAAGCCCGTGCTGTGTGGAAAGTGCCCCTTTCTGTCTCTTATTTTTGAGCAACAAAGAGAAGGAATTATTTTCAGAGGGTAAGAGAAAATGAAGTAATTTTCAGAGACTGGGACATACTGGGAAAAAACAAGCCCTTCATGTTCACAACACTGACAACGCTGTTCTTGCAAGCAGCAGCAGTGGTGCACCCGCAGTTTATTTCTGAGTCAGCTTCTATCCTGCAGTTAGCTTTTTACTCTTTTGAATGTAGAACATATATTAAATAATTGGCTACCTGAAGAGCTGGAAATTTTTGGCGGTGCAGAAAAACAGCCACACTATTTCTATTCTTGCTCTTGTGCTTGTTTAATGACATAGCAATGCAAGCAGGAAGTAGTGTTTTTGATTGATGTGTTTTAAAATTTTAATTCCTAGTAAAGATCATTGTGAAAATTAGTTCAGAATTGAACTGAATCTATTTTAAAATTTCTGAGCTGAATCTGTTTTGAATTTTCTGGAGTTTCAAACATGTTTGTCATGGTATCAAATTAATCTAGGATTTTCAGACAGATAATTTAATTCAGATCATGTCCATCAGCTTCTGGGTGCATATTATAACACTCATAGTTCACATTTTTACAACGTAATAGTTATTGTATTTGTTATCTAGGTTTTTTCAACTTGTTATAATTCTGTTTATCTAGAAGAGGCCTGCACAATGAGTTGGTGCAGCCCATATAGGGAAGAAGCACAGTACCTTCCATCCTCAGTTCCTTGCTCCTTTCACTTAGGGCTTCTTCATGACTGCATCTTCCCCTACAAACCCACACGATCTTTAAGATCTTCCGGGGATGCTCTTCTCTCGCTTCCACCCCTGTCTCAGGTGTGGTTGGTGAGGACGAGGGAAAGGGCATTCTCAGTGGTGGCCCCTCATCTCTGGAACTCCCTCCCCAGGGAGATTAGGCTGGCACCCTCCCTATCCATATTTTATAAGGAACTAAAGATGTGGATGTTCCATTGTGCATTCAAATGACGATTCCTTTGACAGATAGTCCCTAACCATGACCTGAATTCAAGTTCCTGTATTTGATTATTACACTTTTACGTTAAGCTGAAATGATCCTGTTATAATTGCTCTATTCCTATACCACTATACATCCTATCTATCTTATTGACCAGCCTTTCCTCTAACTTATATGCACATTGCCCCCCCCCCCAAATGAGACTAGAGGTATCTCTGTTGTTGCTTATGATGCTTCTTTATTATTGTTTATGATGATGCTGTTCTTATGCTGTTTTAATATTTTATTTGTTCTGTTTTTAATTGTATGTTGCCTTGGGCTTGGCCCCATGTAAGCTGCCCCGAGGCCCTTCGGGGAGATGGAGACGGGGTAGAAAAATAAAGTTGTTGTTGTTGTTGTTGTTGTTGTTGTTGTTGTTCTTCTTCTTCTTCTTCTTCTTCTTCTTCTTCTTCTTCTTCTTCTTCCTCTTCCTCTTCCTCTTCCTCCTCCTCCTCCTCCTCTTCCTCTTCTTCTTCTTCTTCCTCCTCCTCCTCTTCTTCTTCTTCTTCCTCTTCCTCTTCCTCTTCCTCCTCCTCCTCCTCCTCCTCCTCCTCCTCCTCCTCCTCCTCCTCCTCCTCTTCCTCTTCCTCTTCCTCTTCTTCTTCTTCTTCTTCTTCTTCTCCCCATCCCCTTGCCACTGAACCTCCAGAAAGAGAGAAAGGGAAGCCGGCTGGAGAGCCTAGACTCTAAATCTGGATCTGGCTTCCCTCTCTTTCTTTCTGCTTGGAAAGAGGGGATGAGGAACCATTAAGAAACCCTGTATGACAGCATCAGGAGATGACAGTGGCTGTCCATTGCTCCTGGCACACAGGACTTCTTCTTCCTATCCCCTATCCCCGTGCTGCTTCCATAAAGAGAGGGAGGCCTGCTGTAGAGCCTGGACTCTGGATCCCAACACACACACACACACACACACAGAGAGAGAGAGAGAGAGAGAGAGAGTTTGGGGGGGGGGGAGAGAAGCCAAATCCGAGATCTGGAATCAAATGATAGGATTGCTCTAGGGTTGCCCTAAGTTAGAAACAGCTTAAAGGCACACAACAACAATCCTAATTAATCATTAATTATGCCTTTGCTGTCGTTCTTAAAAAAATGCCTTCAGAGAAATCCATGTCACTGATGGAAATTTACAACAGCATCATCAAGGCTGAGAAAGGAGAGAAAGCCGAAACATTTGAAGAGTTGCAATGTAGATAGCTAAAACTGGGAACTTAGTGACTTGGGAACATAAACAAAGGGGGTGGGTGGGGGATGTTGCTTGAGGATATAGTCATGCTTTTTGTGCCAAAAGCTCATAAGTAACCTTTTCTCTAACCTGTATTGATCTGGAAATAAAGGATTCTATTTCGAGCCCTAGCTGTGAGTAGGTTTCATTTACTAAGAAATTGAAGTACTGACACGTATCTGCAGCTTCAAGAGGTTTAGCCTATTTAATTTTGGCCCCTTACTACTGCCAGGTTTTGTAGGCCTAATCTAGAACAAAACCCTTTGATTTTGGTTTTTAAAGCAATGATCCTGTAGCCATGTTTGACACATCCCAGCATTAACTTCAGATGATGCCAGTATTATCTGATTTCTTGAATTTTAGGCTCTTTCTCTCATCTCCAAAATTGTGGGAAATTGTTTATGTGGATTAATGAAGCTGTGGGCATATGGTAGTCTTTAGTTGTTTCACAAACCTAACACTGAATATGAATGATGTGGAAACTAGTTGTACAATGGCTGTGAACCTTTCTGCATTAGTGTCTGCTGAAGAAGATGCTTACAACACGATTTTTGGTTGTAAGTCTTAAGCAAGCTCCTCACTTGTGACTTTGTGGGCCCAGATGTCACAAAAAAACAAAAACAAAACAAAAACAAACCCAGCTCGTAGGAGTATGGATCTCCTTACATCAGAACAGTTGAATTTTTCAACTCTGTTTCTTGCCTCATATTTTACCATTAAAAACAAGGAGTTTTGACAGATCCTAAGCCCACTGAGATTTTACTTTCCTCCCAATTCCTTATTCCAACAAATCACATCTTTGCTTTGCAATTTCCAAGCATCGCTACTTTTTTCTTTTTATGTAGATGCCGCTCTTATGAAGATTGCTGTGGTTCAAGGTGTTGTGTGAGGACTCTATCAATCCAGAGACTATGGTATTTTTGGTGAGTCAGTAATAACCTTTCATTGCATTTTCTGCAGTTAAAGTTGTATTAAAATTGATAGAAGAATGCAAAGTAAGTGCATAGGATTGCCATACTCTTTGTTGGTTGGGTTTTACCTGGATACTAGGCATGTCACCAAGGGACTATTTGGACCATTATTTGTCCTAGATTTTAAGCTTTCATTTAAAAAAAGTTAGTCTCTTACCCTTGCAGGAACCAAGAAACTGGAACATTTTGTCATTTGGACTGAAAGTCTGTTTGTGCAGGTACAGCTGTACCAGGAGCTCCAATTTTGTTTGCTTTGCATTGAATGTTTGTTGTAGTCCTAAGTTTCAGGGACTCTGCAGATAGGTGGCTTCTTTTGGCTGCAATCATAGGACAAGCCACCTGTCAATTATAGTTAGGTTCCCTGGTCCCGCCCCCTTTTGGGGTTTTAGAGGGAATAGGAGCCATTTTGGGTTCAGTCCACATAGAGAAGCCTTTCATGCAGGACATAATATCAAGAGCTCCTGTAGAAAGCTTCGTCTTCTACAGCTTGGCTGGGGATTATACAGCCTTACAGCTCCTTCGCTGAGGGACCTCAGTCAGCCATCACGGAAACCTGAATTCTTTTTTCCTGGAAGTCTACAAAGCTCTGCTTGGTAAGGGTCACTCGCGGAAGCCAGAAGCAGTTGGTACCGGGTGCAGGGGCTCCACACCAACAGAGGCAAAGGCAGACTGCCCAGATTAGAAGTTAAGGATTTCCCCATTAGTTACAGTTATGAAGTGTCTGTTCCCTGTGGACAAGATTGAGAGAGAGTCAATAGACTGTTAAGAAAGCCTTAAAGTACCTGTTTGTTTTCATAAATAAAGAACTTTGTTGAACCTTTAAGCAATCTAAAGACTCTGTTTTAAGGAAATCCAAGGGCCTTTAATCTGAAGCAGCCCCGGCGTCCCGTTGGGCACACAGAATTTATGTCCTGTCTACAGTCTTATGCACAGGCCCAGCGTGCGACAGCACACTGTTCATCCTTGACTTTCAGGTGCATAATTAATTTGCATAATGTAGAATTGAAGAAATTTCATATGGCAGGCCTAGGGATGCACAACCCATTTCCACCCAAACCATACGCTGACCCTTATGGATATCCTACATTTTATATCCCCCCTCTTATTTCCCACTAAGTTTCGACTGCTGGTAAATAAGAGGGGGGATATAACATGTCCGATACCCATAAGGGTATCTTATGCTGGTGGAGCCCCTGGTGGCACAGTGGGTTAAACCACTGAGCTGCTGCGCTTGTTGACTGAAAGGTCACAGGTTCAAATCCGGGGAATGGCGTGAGCTTCCAACCTAGCAGTCCGAAAACATGCAAATGTGAGTAGATCAATAGGTACCGTTCCAGCGGGAAGGTAACAGTGCTCCATGTAGTCATGCCGGCCACATGACCTTGGAGGTGTCTATGGACAACAGCAGCTCTTCGGCTTGGAAATGGAGATGAGCAGCACACCCCAGAGTTGGACATGACTGGACATAATGTCAGGGGGAAACATTTACTTAGACTGCTGGTAGTCACAAGGAAAGTGGCGGGGGGACGGGGACGGGACATTACTGTACTTTGTTTGTAGGGGCCAAGGTGGAGACAGCTGTCTCTATCCCTCCCTCTCAAAGATCTTGAAAAGGTTGTTTGTGGCTCTATAGCCATGGACTCTGCACCCATGGATTCCATCTATCATAGCTTAAAAACATTATCCCACCTTCCCAAATACCATTGTCCCATTTATATGCCATATAATGGGATGAGCATCCATGGATTTTTATATCCATGGGAGGGAAGTCCTGAAACCAAACTCTGGTGGATAGCAAGAGCTCATTATACTCTTTGGTAATGTCAGTGGCAAATGTAAGACATGCAGAGAGTCAACTGTTACTGAATGGCAAGGAGTGAGGATAATTTTCTTAGGGTGCTATGGATCAGTACCATATTTGTGCCCATTGATAACCTTTTCCCTAGAAACTCCATGGACCAGTAGACAGTGGATTTGGAGACTGGTACTAGTCTAAAAACTACCACTTTGAGTAGCACCTCTGCACATTACTGTTGCTTTACGGATAGATATTGAAAGTTACTAATGCATAAACTACTAGTCTGATTCTCTCTTTATTGATTTTAATGCTTGCTTATACATCGGTTTCATTGAAGAAACAAGCAGAGAAGCATATTATTAAAACTTCTCTATGTTCACCTGGAGGCAGTTCTAACTTGTCACAGATGGCCAAGTGATAGTTTCATTAAATGGATGAATGTGATGAGTCTGTTTCTACCAAAGTTTCTTCACCTGAAAATAGAAGCAGACATTAACTGGTTGTTACTTGGACATGAGACTGCACATATCTTTTTTTTTCCTAGCAAGGAGATTATTTTCATGTAAGAGTAATTCAGAATTGCCTTCTGTGCTAGGCAATGATCTCTGAGCTTCAGATTTTTATTTCTATAATTATTTAGGTTAGCTATGGAATAGTAAATCCTTGCGATGCTGAACATTATGCAAACTCAGTTTCAGCTAACATGTTCTCCCCTTTCGCCTTTACTCAGGTTCCTGCTGATGATGGGAGTTTTGTTTTGTTGTGGGGCTGGTTTTTTTATCCGAAGACGGATGTATCCTCCTCCGCTGGTTGACGAAACAACTTATAATGTGTCATATACTCGGCCACCTAACCCCAATACAGCAGGTGAGAGATTATTTATTTATTTATAGTTTTTATATTCTGCCCTTCTCACCCCGCAGGGGACTCAGGGCGGATTACAGTGTACACATATGGCAAACATTCAATGCCAATTTTTGACATACAAACATATACAGACATACACAGAGGCTATTTAACTTTTTCTGGCCGCCAGGGGAGCTGTCGCTTTCATCGTCCATCTGCGACGCTGATGAAGCACTTCCGCATTCCCCGCATGCTTCCCCGCTGGAATGTTTTGCTGGAGTCTTCTTTATGGCCTCATAAATCAGTTAATTTAGCCTCCCCACACTTTAAGGTGGTACCTAATTTTCCTACTTGACAGATGCAACTGTCTTTCGGGTTGCAAAGGTCGACAACAGGCTACACACAATTGGTTGGAAACCCACTCCAACCCGGGCTGGCTTCGAACTCATGACCTTTTGGTCAGAGTGATCTTAATGCAGCTGACACTCAGCCAGCTGCGCCACAATCCCGGTGCACAATCCCGATTACTTCTGTTCTATTGTTGTGCTCTTTAATAATGCAAGAATTCCTGATGTCATATTGTTATTAATTGGAATGGAATGCAAGTGTTTGCTTTGGCAAATAAAATAAAACATTATTGAATAGTCACGGTTCTCTGATACCTACCCAAGTCATAGTGATGACTCCCAAATGCAATGTGGTTTTTGGAAGGAAATACAAACTGATAAGCTACAGTTACCTCAGGGCTAGGATTTAGAAATCCAGATGTTAATAATAGGAATCATTGTAGCAATCACAGAGAAACTGGAGAATAAAAAAATCTTCTTGCATCTACTAATGGAGGATGGAGCTAATGTAGGTGCCTTACATCAGCCATTGGATCCCTCTAGGCTAGTATTGTTAGCATCTGTCCTAAAGTTTGGGTCAGGTCCATAGCCAGGATTTTGATTCGGGGGGTGCTCAGGATCTACCCTAGCAAACCTTTTGTATCGTTTCCCCAATACCCCCATGCATATGGGATATATTGAGCATGGTGATCAGATCATGATATGAATAAACATAACAGTTTAAATAATGTACCAGTAAGGCCTTCTCGCAGACACCCTGAGAATTTGGGGGGGGGGGGCTGAAGCCCCTCAAGCTCCCCCACCCCCCAGCTATGGGCCTGGCTTGGGTAATGTCCTTTTTCCATATAGTAACTGGTGTATTTGTCTGGAAATTTTCTGCAAAATATCACAGACTGTCTGAGCAAGTTCACAAGACAACTGAGATGTAATCAGCCTTTCAACTATTTCTCATAGTTCTGTTTTTTATGGTTTGCTAAGTCTGAATGCTGAGATGTGACTGAGCTGCAAGGCCTAACTTGACTAGCACCTTCCTCCCCGTTCTTCTAGAGCAACCAGAAAAAGGGGTCTGTTGAAAGCAGCATTTAGATTGGCTACCACAAGGTCAAAGAGGATAGCTGGCTGAGCATCTCTGTTTTTAGTTCTTTCCCTATCTCTCATCAGGAACACAGAGATCTAGTGTTAACACATATATTTCCTTGCAGAGTACATGTTGTTCTTTGGAGAAGATGAATTCACAGGTTTGAGATGTATTTTGGTTTGTGGTCTTTTTTGTTGTAAAGGAACGAGTTCCAGTGCTCAGGCTCATAAAAAAAACCTTTTAAAATCACACCATAGTGAGAAGGGACGTCAAAAAGATTTGTCTAAGTAAAGATAGACATGAGGATAAAAAAATCACCTGTAGTAAAGTACTCAGTTTACAGAAAAATGCATTTCTAGATGCAGTAATTGTTTCACTGTGGGACGACATTGAAGTGCACAAGTACACATACCCTGTTTGTACTGCAGATAATAATAATAATAATAATAATAATAATAATAATAATAACAACAACAACAACAACACTTTATTTGTACCCCGCTGCCATCTCCCCAAGGGACTCGGTGTGGCTTACATGAGGCCGAGCCCGAATACAACAATACAAGCAATAACAACAGTACAAGCAAATTAAAATAAAACATAGACAATAAAATATACAACATTATCAATAAGACAACACACAATTAAATATTGTATTACGTTACTTTCACGAGTACCAGACATTGGCATCACCGTTGTTGTTGACGTCATCATCAATAACACTATGTTAAAAAAAGAAAAAAAAACTGTTCCTGGCTTGAAACTGTTTCTTCATGTTCAAATGTGCAGTATTTACTTTGAAAGTAGTTGCTATACTCCGGACATTTTGTTTTTGTGGCTGCCACAAGCTATGTTGAATTGGTTGAGACTCTATGAGATATTAATTGAAAAACTATAGCAAAATATGCTGCATGATGTCCTGCAAAAACCAAGTTTTATGCAGTTTAATACACTATTCAGATTTTTTTTTATACAAACAATTAGGACATGACATTTATAACCCAGGAACAAAAGTGGTGTTACATAGTGTAATTTTATATGTTACTTACCTCTCCCTATGGCTTGAGGCAGAGTACATCATGGTTAAAACAAAACAAAACAACAACAAATATAATACCATTAAAATGCTTATATCAATATACACACAATTAAGATTGATACCAATACTAATGCAATCTATATAAATAAAAATGTAACGTTCGTTTGTGGGATTAACATAACTCAAAAACCACTGGATGAATTGACACCAAATTTGTACAGAATACGCCTAACAACCCAATGAGTGACCATCACTAAAAAAATGTTGTTGTCATTTGGGATTTGTAGTTGCTAGGGTTTATACTTCACCTACAATCAAAGAGCATTCTGAACTTCACCAATGATGGAACTGAACCAAACTTGGCACACAGGATTCCCAAGACCAATAGAAAACAGTAGAAGGGTTTGGTGGGCATTGACCTTGAGTTTTGGAGTTACAGTTTACCTACACCCAAAGAGCACTGTGGACTCAAACAAGCAATGATGGATCTGGACCAAACTTGGCACAAATATTCCATATGTCCAAATATGAACACAGATGGAGTTTGGGGAAAATAGACCTTGACATTTGGGAGGTGTAGTTGCTAGGATTTATAGTTCACAGTCAAAGAGCATTCTGAATGCCACCAACGATTGAATTGAACCAAACTTTCCACACAGAACACCCCTGACCAACAGAAAATAATGTGTTTTCTGATGGTCTTTGGCAACCCTTCTGACACCTTCTTGCCCCCCCCCCCCAGGGGTCCCAACCTCCAGGTTGAGAAATGCTGCCTTAAGGCCATCCAGTCCAACTCCCTTCACCAGGGCAAGAAAACATAACCAAAACCCTGACAAAGAGCCATCCAGCCATAGATATAGATATATAGGATTCATACATACACACACACACATATATGTATATGACAGATATAGTATCATAGATTTGAAAGGGACCCCTTAGAAGGACAATTATATGTTGCATGTTCCAGAGTAGACAAACCAGACAATCTCTACATCAACACTGACAAAGAAACAAGAAGAAATACTGTTTACCCACAAGCATAAAGCATAGTTTTATTGTGCCATGGTGTATTGTTTTTATTGTTTACTGCTTTTGTTTTAATGTTGATTTCCTTTAAGTTATGTGTTTGTTATGCTGTTGTTTTATTGAGGTCTTGGCCTGTGTAAGCCGCATCGAGTCCTTCGGGAGATGTTAGCGGGGTACAAATAAAGTTAATAATAATAATAATAATAATAATAATAATAATAATAATAATAAAGAAATTACATATATTAGAAACCAACACTTTCTCATTACTTTATTTTCCAGATCACCAGACTGGGCCACAGCAATGCGTGGCAGGGGATGGCTAGTGCAGATTAAAATTCACAGGTTAAATTATCCTTTGCCTTTCTCTTTCAGGCACACAGCAGCCAGGAATGGCATACTACCCGGAGCCAGAGGGAGCTGTGATGAGCCCTATGGCAATGACTTACCACGTCCAGCCGAAATTTCCACACGTGAACCCAGTTTACCCACCCCCTCCTTCGTATTGCAATACCCCTCCTCCACCATATGAGCAGGCTGTGAAATCTTCAACGTAACCTCAGGGTTGCAGGATGTGGTGACTTGGCTAGAAAGAGACAGGATTGGGAGCTATGAAACATTTCTTAGTGCTCCAGCATCCTTTGCTCTTTTCACAGTTAGTATTATTTGAACAAGAGTGGCAGATTTGCAGCATCGGGTGAATTATTGTTTGGTATATTCCAAGCGAAAGTCTTTTTTTTTTTGTATGTGTGTGTGTTTCTAAACCAATATTTATATCCCATACAATCTGCTTTTAAAATTACTCTCAATTGTGGTCTCAATGCATATATTATGGCGCAGAACAATGTCCCCCAGCCTAAATGTCCTAGAGCTCTTTCCAAAATTTTAAATAGTAGAAGGAGACATCAGCAAATATGAAGAGGAGATAGCTCAAATAATTTTAATAAGGAAGATGGGTTGTCTCTGCTAAAAAAAAGCTCAGAGAACTGAGAAAGGACTGGATGAAGATGTCTCCAAGCAACTTCGGCAAGACGATGTGTGAGAACAGTCTCTATCTTGGAATAAGACCCACCTATGTTTCAATAGCACAACCATGAGATGGGACAAGGTTGTACCATCCCACATGTCTCAACCCCACTCTTCTAACTCTGGCTCTATTTTTGTTTCTGCCAGAGTGAATTGAGGGAGCGGGGGAGTCTCTTGTTGCCAATAGTTAAAATGGCAATATGGTGATATGAATGTAATAACAAATCATTGGTTTTGTTTGGGGAAAAGTGACAGGTCCAGGTCTAACCACAGAAAAGTTGAATTGCCTAATAAATATTTTTAAACTACAGAGAATTTCAGAAGTTAGAAATGGTTTTGCTGTGGGCAGCCATAAGCCCCTCACTGTGTACATTGAAGGTGAATTATGTCTGCTATTAAGAATCTGAGAGACAGGTGTGTAGAACACGGGGAGCCATGGTTTGCAAGGCAGATACATGACATGCAGGGACTTTGTGAAGGCAAACCTGCTCTTGGCTTGGTTTCATGAGTAAAATGGCCCTTAGATTTGGCCTGGATGATCAGTATTTCTCCTCCATATTCCTTTCAGTCTTACATTCATTTTTAAGATTACACCAAGCATAACATTTTAAACCATCTCCTCAAGATGGCTTCCACCTATCTGTTGCATTCAAAATGAATTTCATAGTATCTGAGATTTACTGGGCACAAAAGAAATGTTTGGAAGTTCTTCAGGATATCAAAACAGATTTTGTATAAATTAAAACGGTTAAAATCTAACATCCACAAATAGTCAAGACATCAAAGATGAACGTGACTGTATCCCATTGTTTCTGTTTGTGAAAAATAATCTGTACTCTCCTTGGCGTTAGAAAGGCATGCCTTCTAGTGCCATACCAAGGGAGGTGAGACTATGTGTTAGAGATGTTTCCTCTAACATTGAATAACACTATGTAACAAAATTTGAAGAAAAAAAACTGTTCCTGTTTTGAAAGTGTTCTTTTCTGTTTAATTGTGCGGGACTTACTTTGAAAGTAGTTGTTATACTCCAGAAACTTTGTTTTTGTGACTGCGACAAACTATGTTGAATTGGTTGAGACTTGATGAGATACTCAATGAACAACTAGAGCAAAACGTGCTGCAGGATGTCCCGCAAAAACCCAGTTTTTGCAGTATAATACATTTTTCCATGTTTTTGTGATAGAACCAATTAGGAAATGGCATTTATAACCCATAAAATGTTGCATTACATAGTGTAATACAGGGGTCCACAAACTTTTTAAACCAAGGGCCAGGTCACAGTCCCTCAAACTGTTGGAGGACCGAATTATAATTTGAAAAAACCATGAATGAATTCCTATGCACACTGCACATATCTTATTTGTAGTGCAAAAAACCACTTAAAAACAATACAATAATTAAAATGAAGAACATTTTTAACAAATATAAACTTATTAGTATTTCAATGGGAAGAGTGGGCCTACTTTTGACTGATGAGAAAGGATTGTAGTTGTTGTTTGCTTTCAAGTTGTTTTAGACTTAGGTTGACCCTGAGCAATGGCCGGATAAATTACCTTGGAGGGCCGTATTCGGCCCCCGGGCCGTAGTTTGAGGACCCCTGGTGTAATAGTTCTTTCCCCAACTGCCAGGACCTTTGTTTATGCTCGAGCGGCCAGGCCACCAGGTGTGGTGTACAATTGTGGAGCTTATTTCCAAAAGGTACCAAATCCACCTGGTCAAATTGTATAGGAATCAGAAAAAAACCCTGAGAATATGCATATTTTTGCTATAAAATGTAATTTTCCAATACCTGTACCAAAGTGATTCGACACAATTGGATAGCACTTGACTCCTAGTGTCGCCACCTCATTTTTCATTTTGGATTTGGTACCTTTTGAAAATAAACTCTGCAGTTGTACTTTTCTTGGCAGAAGGTTTTCCCATACTGTAATTAAAGGTAAAATGGAGAATTTCCAGAATGTAATGTGTAGAAAATCTGAGGATATTTGAGAAATACACATCATGTTTTGTAAAATACCAAGCAGTGATTGTCCAGTATGATGTATACTTGAAGCCTATACATCAGGGGTGGGAAACTTGTGAACTTCCAATTGTTGTTGGACTATAGCTATCAGGATCCCTAACCATGCAACTTTAGGATAATTGGAACTGCAGTCCAACAGGATTTGGAGGAGTATAGATTACTTACCACTTATGTAAGGTGTTGTAAAGTGTTTAAGAAGGTACAGCACCTATTACATTCTAGACTAGAAGTCTTCAGGTTTAAAAGTTAATATTTAACATGGTCTGAAATGATAAGTTAGCATCAGTTTTCAATTGTAATTGTACCCCAGACAGATTTTATTGCCAGACACTTATTGCCATTTGGCATACAGCCTCCTAAATATATTTGATGGTTCTATTTACAGTGACAATTTGTAAAAATGATCTTTCCCACACTATACTGCTGTATGCTCTGAATATTTTTTACTTCCTTCACATCTCCCAACATCAACTTTGCACCATACCCTGTCCTTTCTCAGGCTTTATTCACATACAAACCTGCTGGCAGGACCAGAGACCACAAAATATCCATTAAGGTACAGGGTGAGGCAGCATAACTTCCTTTTTTAAAATGCGCACCATTCAGTCGGTTGAAGACGTAGCAGAGCACTAGTGGTCTCGTTCGAGAGGCAGGATATAAATTTTTGTCCTGACACATTTCAGTCGCCATCATGCGTTGGAACAGTGAGGAGTGCTGCTTTTGCCATTGAGGCCTACTTTTCGAGCCGATTTGGAGTGGCCGGCCCGCTCTCCTGATTTGGCCCCTTGTGATTTTTTTTTGCCTATTAGTGTAGAAACTTTAATGTAGCTCAACGTAATTATTTAAAGTTACAATTCTTGCTTTTTCCAATTTAATTTTTTTTTATTGTGAATTATTGAATACATAAAAAGTGGTGGAACAATAGGGTAGGGATAGGAAAGTGTAGAAAAAGGGAAAGGGAAGGAGGGCGGGGGGAAGGGGTTTTACTCACTCTCTTGCATACGCATACAATATCATTCGCTCCACACTCGCATGGAGAGAAGGTTCTCTCCATAAAGAAAAGTACTTCCAAGTTGTTCAGGAGTAGCTTATCTATTTCTTCTTCTTAGGACTGCTTTCAATTCATCTGGAAGTGTGGAGGAGGTCTGATTGATCTCATGGTTTTGCCAAGTTTTGGTCTGTTGGTGGTATTCTTTGAGCTCAGAATGGTTTATCTTGTAGTTTCTCATTAATGTATCCTTATATTGATATTATTTGTTTTAATTTTTATTTTGTTAGTGTTTTATTCAATTATTCTTTTTTCTCCTCATCTAGGAATTGGAGGAAATTGGTCCAGTTTGTTGTTTTAGTCCTATTACTGTGTTGGGATATTCTTTGTGTGAGAAGGTCCATGTTCATAATATCAAGGACTTTCAATGTCCATTGCTCTATTGAGGGAATTTCCGGGTATTTCCACAGCTGGGCCAGTTTAATTCTTGCTGCGGTTATTAGATAGCAAAATATCTTATTCAATTTTTGGGTCCATGTCGAAGTCCGTAATACCTAATAGTAGGTATTCCGGTTTTAATTCAAATTTAATTTTTAGAATTGATTCTATTTTTTTATTAATTTGTCACCAGTAGAGTTTGACCATTTTACATCTCCACCACATGTGGATGAAATCTCCTTTTTCTTTCCTACATTTCCAACACTTTCCGTTGGTCTTTCCTTTATTGATCTTTGATAATGTATTGGAGTTTTTTTTTCAAATCCCGTGTTTATGTGAACCGTCCAAGGACCCTACAAGATTTGAAGACCAACATCCAGGAAGAAATTGCCAACATAACGCCTGCTATGCTGGCAAGAGTCATGACAAACGCCAGAAATCGGTTTACTCAGTGTATGGAGAATGGGGGATGTCACCTACCTAATTTGATCTTCAAAACTACGTAAAACAAAACTTTAGGTATGCGCCTACATTATAATTTTTTTTCTGATTCATACAATGGGTTTTATTAAGTTTTGAAAAAAGGAAGTTATGCTGCCTCACCCTGTAGTATGACGATCTGGCAATGTTCTGGTTTTAAGAATATTCATTCTTGATGAAAGGGCATGTGTACGAAGTAGAAAATGTAATTGTAACATGACTGGAAAAGATATTTTGATTGAATTGAGTATTTAAAGGTAGCAACTATTGGGGCTATTAAAGAAGTTCTGGTCCAAAGGTTAGATTCACTTTAGATTCAACAGTTGCTGAGAATAATAATAATGGAATTTAATATTATTGCATTTTTTCCAATTTCTTTTAGAAAAATAGGCCATTATTGTAGAGGCATGCTTTAACATAAAGCTGACCCAGACCAGAATATGACATAATTTTGTAACTTCAGTTAGATTCATCCCAGTGATCACTGAAGGATTGCTAAGACAATGAGCAAACCACAAACTGTCAAATGAACATGCCAAAATTAAGGACTTTTATGCCACACGGATGTCACATGGACAAATAAGTATGTACTGAACTTTCTTTCTGTAGGTCATGTATTTTGCTAATTTGTTCAATGGGATCCGGATTTTTGTCTACAGTGAAGTAAACTTGTCTAGGAAATGATTAGAGCTAGACTTAGTTTATGGAGTATGGCACGTGGCTCTACGAACTGTCATTGTTGCATGACATCTACATTATGTAACATTCAAAAAAAGAAATGAAGAGAAATCTCAATCAAATGGGAAGCAGCAATTTGTAGTTTTCGTAATAGTGTGGAAAACGTATTTCTAGGATAATTTTATGAATGAGAATGCTAGTTGATAAGAAAAGGGATGCAGGCCTTGCACTGAATACCATGGACACAATAGATCATCTTCTCCCTTGTCTGAATTTTTGTGTACTTTTCAAAATGTTGCCAATGCTGTGATATTCAGAGATCTGATCTACTTAGGATGCAAAGACATGCTACCAGCTAGCGATCTTTCCTTAATGGTGTGACATTCTATTAAATGATGAGGTTCATATTGTTCTATTGTATACACTAATATCTCTACTGAATCCGCTGCTGGGTATATGTCTGTATAATAATAATCCAGTGTAGCAGAAACATTTAATTTGCATTCTTCTTATATCCTAGGGGTTTCTTATGTAAATTAAGAGCACAATTTCAGTCTTCACGTTATTTATAATTACATTTTGCAAGCTTTTTTTAAAAAAAGAAATGTTGGATAGCATTTATTTATTTTATAATTTATTTTATAAATTGCCAGTGTTTACAAATTGTGGAATATTGGCACAGTTGCTCCTAGTTATACTCTACCAGCCTGCAGGTGGAGAAAGGGTCACATAGTGGACAACAAAGGTCCTTGATCATTGAAGAGAAATGTGGCAGGAAAAGGATCAGGCTGGAAACCTTTTGCCACCTAGATTTTTCTGTGCAGGAACATTACATGGTGATATCTAGCACATCATATGACATTGGCAAAGGGTGTGTACCTTGATGACATGCTAGTTGTTCAACAAATATTTCAGTTGAAAGAGTATAAACAAGTAGAGATGTTCAATGTATTGTCGAAGGCTTTCATGGCCGGAATCACTGGGTTGTTGTAGGTTTTTT